TTGTCTTCAGCGGTTGTGTCGGGAAGGTGAGCATCATAGAATGCCAATTTAATAGAAGAAAGTATTCTTGTGTTGAGGGAGTACTTGAGTGGAGCTCTGGCCTTATTTCTTATTTCACTTTCTAGTCATAAAAGGAAAGTGTAATTTTAGAATGAGGGCTCAGGCTGTCTCCCCTTAACCCAGTGTTCAGTCTCAGTCTGACTAATGCTGGGGAGAATGCGTGCCACTGTGACCCAACGTGAAGTGAATTGCAGGCCATCAGGGATCTTATGCATCACAGGTGGTCATGTTCTCGCTAAGCAAGCCTGACACCGAATGTGTTTGGAGGGGAAAGAGGAAAAGTTCAATGATACCACAAAGCAGTCATCTGAGAAAGCCAGAAAGTGGGCCCCAGGACAACTACCCTGGTCTCCTTAGCAGGGCGCTGTGTTGAGAAGAGAGAACAGAGAAAGGAGTGGTTATGGTTTCAAAGAGAGGTGGCTTTCTACTCCTGGAAAGACGTACAGCTTCAGAAGCTCACAGGGCAGCTCTATACTCTCCTACAGGGATCCAATGAGTCAGAATTGATTTGATGGTGATGAGTTGGGGGGTTGCTTTTATCATACGAGAAAGGAGAAGGTAAGGCTTCTTCACAACCTCATATTTTTGAAAAGTCAAGCTTTCATTTGCCATTTCTCACTTCTCACACAGAAGGGGAGAAAAGAGCCAAATTTCCGAGATTTTTTTTGGACAAATTGGATGTGGTTGGAGCTGAACTGTATTCAGTCACAAGGAACACATCGCCTTTGGTCCTTTTGATCACAGGTATCATGGACTGAGAAAGAAGTCTGAGGATAATGTCTCAGAGGAGATCAAAATGAACTGATATCATCAGGTTTGAGAATCCAGTCAGTAAAGTATTTATTTTTAAAAGCACTTCTGAAAATTGAGATGCTGGAGGAGGAATGCCCCAAATTGCACTTTCCACTCTACCCAAATTGAAGACATGCTTAAAAAGTTACCTACCTAATAAATATAGTCTGCTCTCAGACCACAGCCACTTCAGCTCTTCCGTCCATTGGCTTAAAATGTAAATTGAAGCAAACCAACAACCAACCATTAGAGCCCCAAACGTGCTATACTGTGCATGGAAGAAAACAAATGATATACACATATTTATATATATTTGGTTCATTCACTCTCATCAGAATTGAAGTAAACAACTCAAGGCCTTGTAAAAACTTTCATACCAAAGTGAATGGACTGATGTCAGTCTGAACTGTCTTGAGCTACCCATTTGTCTCACTGCTTCAGGTGTGGTTGCTAAGCAGCAGCATGGCCCAGCAGCTGGGGGCGTGGTTGGCACACACACTCAGGGGCCACTCCTGACTGCTGAGCGGGAACATGCATTGCCACACGCTCCCCAGGTGACCCTCGTCTGCAGGAACATGGGCAAAGCCCTGCTCTCAAGATCACATTCCCCGCAGCAGATCGCTGGGCTGCAAGTCTTGCTCAGAGTAACAGCAGCATTATCATCCTGGATCAATATGTATTTACCTCCACTAAAGGCACAGCATTAGTTTATCAAAGGTGTTTCAGAGAACGAACGATTCCCTAGATGTGTCCTTTAAGGCCCTGATGATTCGGTGTCAGGCAACGCTTAAGCTCGGCCAAGATAAGAGCAATTTTCACTCGGCCCAGAAACAACCCATCACTCTTCAGCAAGAACACGTTTTGTCCCACGAAACCCATTGCCCCTGAGTCCGGTCCCACTCCATGACCCCATAGGACAGAGTTGAACTGCTCCACGGGGGTTCTGGGCTGTCCATCTGTATGGGAGCAGGCTGCCACATCTTCTTGCCCAGACAGCTGGCGAGGTCAAACCACCAATCTTTCAGTTAGCAGCCCAGCACTGAACCCACTGCACCAGCAGGCTCCTTAAAAACACACTCTCTAGAAAATAAAAATGTCTCAAAAAAACAGTGATCAGCAAAATTTAATACTTCGTTAGTCTACATTTACGAAGAAATAAAACACTCTTTAGAAAAAGGTACACGTAAAGTGAGTGTCCATACCGAAGGAAGAGATGAAGGTAAGTTAAAAAGCACTGGTACTAGCGCTCCCGGTTGGGTGGATGCCAAACAAAACATGCGTAAACACATCTCAATAGCCATCAGCTGCTGACGTTTTCTCAGTCATGTCTTGCTTTAAACCCAAACCAAACTCTCTGCCATTGATCCATACTGATCCATAGTGGCCCGATAGGGCAACAGAGCTGCCCCTGTGGGTCTCGGAGACTGTAACCTTTCACAGGAGTAGAAAGCCCTGCCTTTCTCTCTTGGAGCTGTTGGTAGTTTCGAATCGCCAACCTTGTGGATTGAAGCCCCATAATTAACCACTAGGCCACCAGGGCTCCTTTTAGTCTCATTGGGATGCCTTTAAAAAAAAAAGAGGTCCAATAAAAATAGTGTCTTTCCAGGCAATCTGCTGAGCCAGCTAAATTCAAGGCAGAGAGGTCAGCTCAGAAGGTCGTTTTTGGGACCTTTTGGGAAATTCCAAGGGGAATCTTGATAGATTTTTTCCCGGGACATGGAAGAAGCATGAGAGCTAATTATACAAAAGTTGTAATCAAATGGCAAAGTGCATCGATGAGAAAAAGGCCAACAGAGCAGCACTCAGCTCATCTTCCAGGGCAGTACGGGCTGTCTTATGAGAATTTCACTGGGAAACCTTACCCTTTCCAGCCTACAGGCCTGATGTTGCTGCTGCAGGCTTTGTTGAGTCTCAAAACTGAAAGAACATTGAAAAGGAACAGGATTTGGGTCCCTCGAGGAGGCCCAAGCTGCTGTTTTGACCGGAGGTAAATTGCAGGGTGGGGTTAGAGAGGTGGATACTCCACCTTCCAGTGTGCACACATTTGGATGGGGGATGTGTTGAGAACCAGGAGCTTCACATTTTGAGATTTTTGCTTCATAAGGATTTCGATGATTTTGTAACACGATTTTTTTTTAACTTACTCTCGTAGCTTAGATTAGGAGCTACCCCATCAAAGCAAAGTGATGGTCATCGGTTTTTCAGGTTTATAAACTCATGGGTTTTTCTTTATTCATTTGCACATAAGATGCTCACCTTGGGGATGAACCTTTTTGCCAACAGCAGGACAAACACAGATGTCATCAGAAGGCCCAGCAGTGTCCCCGAGATGTAATAGAACAGAGGGCTTCTGTGAAGACGAGCAGACAAAAGCTTTCTGGAGCCCCTGCAGCACTGATGACAGGAGCCATCAAGCATATTCAGGCACCGTGAACTCAGATGGCAACTTCCAAGAGCCAAGGCATTTTTCATCATAACCTTGGAATTTATGGTAAATAGCTTGCCACTAACTCAAAACAGAATGGCCGAGTTCGCGTCTTTCTTCAACAATACTCACTGAGCAGCTGTCTGGTGTAGCAGGCTCTCGCTGGTAGCTTCCCATGCATTCACAACAACCCCGTGACACCGCTGTCCAGGTGTGAATTTTACGGAGGAGGACAGCAAGGCATTGAGAAGCCAAAGACCTTCCCAAAGTTCGTGTCTGAGTTAGGAGGATTCAGCAGCCCAGCATCTCTGATTCTAAGCTTTCTCCTCATGCTATGTAAACACTGTGGGTTTGGGAAGACCATGGATGGCAAGAAACACACTTGATTACATTCTGGGGAAAATGAAAAAACGGATCATGTTATGAATAGCTAGCAAATGTTGGGCACTGACTAATGTGAGCAAGCTAAGAGATAAAATACTGGGAAAAGAGACTCTTTGTCCAATGAGAAACTGAAAGCCAGGTAAGAGCATCATGTATTTATCAGCTATTTGTTCAATTCCATCTCCTGCTGTCGAGCCACACCACTAGGGAAGGGCTTTACTGCAATGGAAAGAGCAAGGCATCTGGCACCAGAAGACCAGAGTACAAATCTTGGCCCTGGCAGCAATAGTGGTGTGGTCACGGATGCTGGGGTTTTCAGTGATAAATGACAACAGTCACACAGAGCTCACACCGTTGTCATGATCAGATCAAATCAAGGAAGGTGTGCCAATAGATCAAATGAAATCATGCAGGAGGATGATTTCAACATAGGCATATCATACTATAACTGTTACTGTTTTAAAGGTCTTCAAGCACTATCTTCAGACCTATTGTCCGCCAAACCTATGGCAAGGGGCTGGAACTGAGAACTACAAATGCGAGGAGTGTGAGGCAGAAAACGTGCGGCACAACTTTTGCTGCACAACATTAAGAAAGCGAGAATTCATACTTACTGACTTAAGGTCTTTGCATAAAAGAAGAGGAGCAGGCCAGCCACAAACAGGAGGAAGAGATTGAAATCCATCACTGGGGCAAAAGAAAAAACAAACAAACAGAAGATTTTATGTCAATGTGGTGACAGAAAGAAAAGTCAACTGATTGAACTGACACCCCAGAATAAAATGAATCAAGAACATCAAGTAGCATACGAACTGACTTACAGTTTTGACTCACTCTTAGTGTATAGATAAGCGTTTTGGTGACAGGCTTCACAGAGAAACACATGGTCTGTCCATATGGATGGACGATGATGGATACCTCATGCGCCTCCCTTGCTGCCCAGAAGTTTTGAAACGCACATTTGATAAAAGATATAATGGTTTCTGGATACTGGCAATTATGCCTTCCTGTGATATATACAATATGCAGCAAGCCTGGGCTGGTAATCTTTACCTACAGAAGAAGAACAGACAAGTCTGTAAGTCCAAAAGTAGCACTCTTTAATACGGTTCTTAACAGCACAGGCAGAGAAGTGACGGGACCAGGATGGGCTGAATCAAGAATGCTCAGATGCACTTGGTAATGGTCTGACCCCAGGGATGGGCCCTATAGACCTGTGCCTAGGACCACTCACACTCTGGACTACAGATGCGTGTGAAAGTGAATGTTTCCTCCTCTGGATGGTGGTTGATTTGACTAACTCTTCTAGCAAGTGACTGTGGCCAAGGGACATGTGGAAAACAATGAGACAGAAAGCAAATGCGGGCAAACCGATCTGTATCTTCAGTAGTTTATTTTCACCAAACGAACATCGGGTGCCGTCAGGACGCAAGGCTCTAGCTACTCCCTCAGCCTAGAGATCTCTTCTCCCAGACCCTTCTCTGGGGTCACTCCGCGCTTCCTTGAACTCCTTCCCAAACGGCACCCTCTCAATAAAAACTAGGTTTGCAATTTTCTTCTCTATCACAGGTATGGTTTTTTATTTGTCCCTCTCTCCCTCTGAGAATATAAACATCCAGGGATTTGTTTTGTTCATGGATGTATCCTAAGTGCCTGGAACCGTTCCGAAGGCCCAGGAGATACTCAATCTATATTTGTGGAATGTTCAGTGAAGGAAAGTACTAGGCAACTAAAAGCAACTGTTGTCTGGCCACTTGAGATCACAGGTAACGCCAACGTTTCTACGCGGGACGGCAATTATTCTGGACATAGAAGGCTGGGCATTCTCTTGAGTTGTGTTTGAACAGCAGCATGCTGTATATTATTTGAACTGGTTTGGGAGGGGCTAATGAAGGGTATAGAGCATTAATGGCCCCTCTTAGACAAAAGAAAAAAACCACAAAACCCCCAACTCCTTGCCGCTGAGCCGGTTCTAATTCACGGGGACCCTACAAGAGAGTAGAATTGCCATGAAAGCCTTCCAAGGGTGTCACTTTCCCGGAAGCAGACTGCCACCTCTTTCTCCCACAGAGCAGCTGGCAGAGACTGCTGTTCGGTCAGTAGCTGAGCACTTCAGCACAGAGCTCCCAGGGCTCCTCCCACCCGCACACCACTGCCACGAGTTGATGTGGCTCATTGTGACCCAGAGGACCTTCCTCCACCGTGCCTCCTCCTTACATCAGCTGTCAAGCTGACGCCCAGCTCCACGTCATACAAGACCTACTTCCTATTCTTGAAAGAGTTCTTTGTAATTCCCTGCTCCCTCCGACCGACTTAAAAGTCGTCCCTTACCTGGACAGTAGACCATAGGGAGGTCCACTTCATTTGGGTATTTTGATGGAAGCAGTAACAGTCTGATTCAGAGCTCTTAATTAAATCCATTTCCTTCAAAGCTTTGCACCTTGGAGCTGAAAGATGGAAAACAAATGCATTTCTTAAATATTAAATTGTCCAGGCTTTTTTTTTATTCACAGGGATAATGGTAGCATCTTAGAGGTCCATGCCAACTTCTTCTACGTAGCAATTATAGGCCTTCTGTCTTTCCAAACTAGCAGGAGGCGGACAGTGCAGTGTCAATACTCATGATGCCTAAAAAGCACTGTCAGAATGCTGCAGGCAGGGCCTCGTCTGTCCTGGAGTGGAGGCAAAGCAGGGAGGGCAGCTTCCAGAAAGGCTGACACGTGAACAGAGCACAGAAAGGGAAGCAGGAGGCAACGAGATGGAGATCGGTGGGGGTGGGATGTGTGTGCAGAACCACGGCGATAGGACAAAGCCTGTTAGGTCAGCCAGTCATAAAGATGGAGGGGAGATACTGTAGGAGCGCACCCCAACACCGGAGGCGAGCACGGTAAGCGGCCAACTTCATCGGAAGGCAAAGCACGGAAGGATTTTAGTTAGTGTTGGCGTCTCGGCAGGAAACTACTGACACTCAAAAGGGCTTCAGTGAAAGGGTTCAGTGCAGATGTGGGCAGGTGGGATGAGGTTCCCAGGTACCAGCAAAAGTAGAAATTCTTGAACATGGCTGGCCTGAAACACCAAGAGGAGGACCTGATGCTACTGGCGCTAAAGAATGATCATCGAGTGGAATACAGCCACAGCAGGAGTTCCCTGGAACAGCAAGGCAGGGTATTGGAACCTCAAGCTCTCTCTCCTACTCTCCTGCTGGTGGCTCGCATTGGGCAAACCCAACTGGAAGCTAGAGAGCAAAGCAGTCCAGGGGACCCAACCCACAGAGGTCAGCTTCTGCAGCCAGAGCAGGGGAGGGAAGGGCGGCAATGGGGCTGCGGGAACAGGGCCTAATAATCAGCTCAACGAGGAAATGCCAGAAGTCCATTTGTGCTTTGGAAAGGGCTTTTCCTAAGCAGTGTGAAATACTGGATGGGAGGAAGACTGAAAGCAGACCACTAAGGAGGCGCGAAAGCCATCTAAGGAAGACACGAACTAAAGCAGCGAGGATCGGGAAGGAAGAAATGAAGGACAGGAGAACAGGTGTGGAGGGGGAAAAACACTGCACTGCTAATCAACAGGCAGGTGGAGCCTCTCAGCCACGTTGTGATAGCAGCCGGGGCAGGCTGCTTCCCTAAATAGATATCGTCTCTCGGAAACCCAAGAGAGCGGTTCAACTCTGGCCTGTCGGGTCACTGTGAGTCCAAATGGACTTGGCGGCAGTGTGTTCGGGAAGCGGAATCGGCAGGCTTCACAGAGTGTTTAGATGAGGGAGACCAGGAGATGTCATGGAGGTTTCTGGTGAGTGGTCAGACGGTGAGGGCCTGTACTTGGGGGTGGGGCGGGAGGAACAAACTGATGAAGGGAAAGGGCAGATGCGGTTGGCTGGGAACTGGCTAATTTCTGGTTGGAGGGATAAGGGAAGATGGTGAGGCCTGCAGGTCAGAGGAAATGTGATTGGCGATAGAAATGCATTTAGTATGTGTTATAATAGACACTCATACAATCAAGAGATCACAACACAATACAATATCTAGAGGAACAAAAGAGATGTGTTACATAGTACAGAAAGTAGAGACGACAAACACCCCAAGAAAATTATAAACGTTGGAGGTTCGTTTTACTCTGTGTCCATCCCTGTATTCAAATTTGGAATTAATCAGATGTAAGTCCTATGTCCTTCTGGATCCAGGATGCTTGTTCGCCACCACACCTGTCAAGCGGGAAAGAGGGATGGAGCACCACTGTGGACACATGAAGGAACGTGCCTTACACAAAACTGCAACACGAACACTGGAGAAGGACTGGGTGGCCAGCAATAACTCCTGAACCATGACACCCACTGAAGAAACGACACCGAGGAAGCGCAGGAAGCTCCCTGTCCTGCCTACGCTTATCTTTAGCATCAAGTTGAAGAAAGAGCAAAGAGAGACCCAGGGCAAGGATGTCAGGGACATACCCTCCACCTTCTGAAATGCCACGGACTTCCTGAGAGCCAGGGCACTCAGGGAAATGTCCACGAGGACATAGCACATCCCACTGTAAAGCTGCCTGAGCTTTTACTCTCGACTTCACATTGTGGGGAAGCGCGTACACGTTTATCTCTAGATTCACATTTGCAGAGTTGGGAAGTCAGATGAAAAGACTGGCGGATGGGGGTGGTGGCTTTAAAACATTCATGGGGAAAAAGAGAAATAGATCATGGACTTTCTCCAGGGACTTTTTGAAGTGCCCTTACATAAGAAGGCAGGTTAAGAAGCAGGTCTCCCCAAATAGAAAAAGGGTTAGAAAGAAGCTGTGGAGGACCTCTGTCAAATACAGGAGTCTAGAGATGCATCCCTGCAGGCTTTTGCATGTTCACACAGGAGCCCGAAGGAGGAGGTGGGATCGGTGCTGCAAAAGGCCAAGCCGCTGCTGGTGAAATGTAGTCTGAAGTAGAGCCCAGATGCCCAAGAGCCCCTTCCAAGGGCTTGACAAGGAAAGGCCATTCCAGGGACATAAAGGGGTTGGCAGCAAACTGTAGAAAAGATGAATGTCTTAGCCGGCAGTGTAAGACCTGGAAGACTGTAAGCCAGCGGACTAGAACATATTAAAACCCATGAGAAGCCCTCGGAGGGTGAGCAGCAGAGATAGGACTAGAACAAACCCTCCTGACTGGCCTTCGGGTATCCCATGTTCTGCCTTCACGTGGCCTCCCATGGAGTCTCTCAGCAGGAACCAGGACTAAAGTTGCAGACGCTGAGGGGGGGGGGGGTGATGTTGAGAATGCTCTATGGCCCTCCAGAAGGGAGAGGGAGGGAACGTGACAAGCTCGAGGGCCCCAGGCCCCAGCAGTTGGAGTTCTCAGAAGGATGCGCTATTACTTCCTGTCAGCTGTTTTCAGGGTTACTGTATAGAGCACACGATGCTTCAGCAGCTCTTGGCTGTCCTCGCAATCCCTCTCCTAGTAGGTTGGCTTCATGGCTTCAACAACTTGGATCAATTCCCATAATGCTAGTGGCCTGAGGAGATGTCCTCATTGTGAGGTCTGAGCTTTGCAGGTGAATGCTGTCTTGACATGAAGTTTTCTCCATCTGCTCTCCTAAGTCAGTTCGTAGCGAGAGCTCTTAAGAGCAAGGTGATCGGATCTAAGTAGACATAGCGCAAGCATTTGAAGCCAGGACTAAGGGCTTCTCTGTTGTCCAAGTCATCCTGCACTTGGACTTTCTGGAAGGAGTCCCTGGCTGCAAACTGTCAATGTGCTAGGCTGTTAACCCAAAGGTTGGAGGTTTGAGTCCACTGAGAGGCCCTTCAAAAGAAGGCCTGGAAACCGACTTCCAAAACATCAGCCACTGAAGAGCCACCCTGTGGGACACGGTTAGACAGGGACACACCTGAGGGAGGTCTTCCTGAGTCCGAGTTGACTCAAAATCAAACGAAGCTCGCTGCCATCGAGCCTATTCTGACTCAGCGCAACTCCGCGGGGCCGAGCAGACTTGCGCCCCTGGGTTTCCAAGTTAGAAATCTTTATGGGCGCAGAAAGCCTCGGTTTTCTCCCACAGAGGCTGTTAGATTAGAACTGCCGACTTTGTGTGTGCAGCTCAACTCATAACACAAGGAGCCCCTAAGAACCTGCTCAACACCCTCCAGTGACTTCCCCTCACAGGCCAAATAAGACCCACGCTCTCTGCTAAGGGTCCCGCGTCCCACCGGGGTCTCCTCCCCTACACATCCCTCCCACTGCTGCTCCAGTCACGCCAACCTTCCAGCTCCCCCTCAGGGTGCCAAGCCCACCCCCGCTGCACGTCCCCAGACTTGCTGTTTTCTTGGCTTGCAGCTCGCTTCCCCCAGATCTTGGCAGAGCCAGTTCCTTCTGATAATTTATGTCTTTGCTCAAGCGTCACCTTCCCAGGAAGGCTTCCTTGGACCCCACTAGCTAAAATAGCACACCCCAACTATCTTCACTCCTTTTCTTGCTACTGTTTGATTTTTCATCATATCATTTATATGTAATTATAAGCTTATATCCTGTCTCCCCTGAAGTCAGGGACCATGAGCTCATTGCCGTAGACCCAGGATTTAAGAGACACTGAACTGAATATTGGTGTGTCTTGTAATTTGAGACCAGTGTGTGAAAGCCTGGCCCATCTTTCCCAGAGCCTCAGCAGTGCCAGTTCGCTCCTTAAAGGGGGGTGCCCTCTGGCCCTCCCTCTGAGACAACCTGATGTCACAGGGCACCCCCTGCGGTCCCTGCTTATGGCCACCTCCTCTACAGAGCTCACGGCAGCCAGCACAGGGCTATTCTAGAACCAGAGGCTCCACCTACCCCTTGGCCTCACCCCACAATCGGTGGGCCCTTAATTCAAGGTGGAGAGTTATAACCCACAACACCCCCAGACCTTCTTCCGTCTCCTCATCAGGTAGAGCAAGTAGGGGAAAGAAAGAGGTGACTCCCTCAAAATTGTTTATGTTTTGTACTTAAATGGTAAATAATGTATTCTGGGTCAGTGACCCACCGATTAGAAGAAATGAATTTGCTCTTAATTTCACCTTGGTCTTCAACCTGAAAGTACAAATGAATGTAGGCTGTTCAGAATCTGCCTATAGAAATAAGAAATACTATCAGAAATGTATTTCTAACAGCATTCCCCACTGGAATTCCTCAGCGTGGCCTCTGGAGTTTTTTGGAGGGAGTGGGGGGGGGGGGGTTGATGTAGAATTTACACAACATACGTGGTATCACAGACAAGGGGTCAGCATGTCCTGGTATCCTCTGGCTGCCCTCCACTCTTATCACCTCTTTCCTGCTCTTCAACCAACCCTCCCACACACAGAAAATGCCCAAATATCCAAGGGGCTAGAAACTCAGAACCACAAGACGCCACGAGCCCATGAACTCCAAGTGAGCTCATGTGAACCCTGAGCCACAGACTCGTTAGACCAGGCATGACACAGTGACTCGTGGCAAGCCTACTGCCTGCTGAGAGACCGCCCTCTTAGATTGCTGGTAAAAGTGTTATCTGCTAGGCCGCGCCTCCAGCAATCTTCCAGGGACATTTCATGATTCAGGTTCTACCTCCTCTATCTCTACCTGAGGGTGGAAAATAGAAAATGTAGCCAGTTTGATGTTTATTTACAACTCTATTATCCGACTGAACCGCTGACAAAGTTAGGCGGCTGCTCACACATGCACAAGTTTCATGTACTCCTGCACCCCAGCCTTCGCCAGCTGATTGAGAGAGGATGGGCCCTCCTAGTGAGGGACGTACCCCCCCACTGCCATTGAGTTTCCAGAGCTATAAATCTCTATGGGAGCAGAGAGCTTCGTCTTTCTCCTGCAGAGCAACTGGTGGGTTTGAACTGCCGGCTTTGTGGTTAACAGTCCCACTGCTTACCCGACAGCACCACAAACATGAGCTCCTTTGAATGCAACCCGGAAAACCAAACAGAATTGTTGAAAAGGAAGTAATAGCCATTCCATTGATCAGAAAAGAATGATACTTGCCTAGGGAGTGGTACTTCCTCCAATTGAGACGTTAATGGGTCCCCACACTGATGGCTGCCCTAGATGTCTGTGGCAGTTACATAATCTCCTGTCAACTTGAAAAGGGGTGGAGTGTAGCGATCAGGTCGCTGCTTGATGACCTCATTTGGAGATAAAACAGTGATCAATAGCTTACTGGAGACCAGATACATGCTCTGTTACTCTCCCTGTGAGACATTCCTCTTGACAAACCACACAGAGTTACACTGATGGAGCCAGATTCCTGGAGCTGGAGGAGCCACGTGGAGACCCACACCACAGCTGAGATGCTTCCACCACCACTGGATCCACAAGACTTTCCACCCACTGGCCTGGGATCTTCCTGCATTCAGTATCATTTCATGTGTTACCTGAGCCTCAAGAGGAATTTATGGACTAGTATTGACATATGGGGTAGTATCAGACTTAAGGACTTGATCTGGACTGGGCTGGGATGTTTTCTTAATATATAATTGCTCTTTGATATACAGTTCTCTCTTACACACATGAGTGTCTCTGGATTTGTTTCTCTAGTCTACCAGGATTAACACACTCTCCATGTCCTCAAATCTGTTGCAGACCAGGAGAAAGAGCTGCAAGTGGGGATTATCCCAGCTCATCTCGATTCCCAAGAATTCAGGAAGATCTAAATGTCATCCTTATTATAATCAGCCCAACATGGTGGTTTTCTCAGCCGTAGGATTTGCATCTCCTTCCTAATGCTCTGTAGACTTCACCAGGTTCTCGGGACTCTTTCCCTAAATGTGACTTCTGGAGGAGAGTCTATTTCTAGACAGTTGTGTCCAAACTGCTAAAATGAATACAGGAGGCATTAACGAGCTGTACTACCAGAAGGGTTGAGTCAGGTAACCTTAGCCTGTGAAACCCCTTTATTCATTTTAATGACTACTCAATTTATAAATACCCAATTCATCTAATTTTCACCTCATGATTTCTGGATATCATATATTAAAAAGGGACAGCTGTATGTCACCTACTTTAATTAACAAACTGAATTTAAAATCACTCCTTTGTAGTGCTTTTGTCACTTATTAGCTTTCCTAAATGCATTAGTCAGACACAAGGTAAAAATATTCAGTCAAAACTTCAGAAAAGCGCAGGTAGTACTTAAACCTACTTCTCGAGCATGCTAAAAATAAAAAGCGCAAACACTTCTCAAATCTTAGCAGGTCTTCAACAGCCTTCCACATTAAAATATTTCAGCAATGTTCCTCCTGAAAACTTAACCTTAGATGGCTTTCAGATATGGGAAAAAATATTCAGATTAGATTTGAACAGAATAATACCACATATTACACTGGACTGCCATTTCCTCCGTTTGATTTATAACTGTTG